AATAAACCTTAAAAAAAAGAAAAAAAAAGAAACGGAAAAGTATTTAAAAAAAGATAGGGCCTCCCCTGGTGGCGCAGGCGGTTGAGCGCCACACTGTGAGGCTGTCCACAGCCTCTGCAGCGTTGCTTCGATCCCGGCTGGCAGGCAAGGGTCCCACATGGCACGGCAGACCTCTCCTGTCGTGCCCACTGCTCCCCTCAGCAATGTGTTTTGTCAGTCTGCCTGTTCTGTTCCCCAATCTGTCTCTGGTGAATCCTCTCACCCTCTCGCGCATCTGGCCTGTACCCCAGGTTCTTGTATAAATAAATAAAAATCTTTTAAAAAATAAAAATAAATAAAAAAGATAATTCATTCAAATGGAAACTAAAGAAGAGTTTGTATATAAAAGACGTGAATTCAAAAACTGTCACAAGAAACAGAGAAAGGCATCATATATGATAAAGTGAACTGGCCCGTTATAAAAATTAAAAATACAAATGTACACAAGTTTAAGGTCACCATATACACTATGCAAAAACAGAGTACTAAAGAAGAAAGAGACAGCCATATGTCACCCTATATGATACCTATATAATGGAAAAACAACCTGGAGAGAAAAATCAACAAGTAAACAGCAGAAGTGAACAACATTATAGACTAAATGTACCAAGCAGGTATCTGCAGAAATTTTTACCCAGGAGCAAGATATTAGCACACATGGAATGTTATCTAGGATTAATCACATATAGTAGGTCACCAAACAAGTCTTAACACATTTAAAAACATAAAAAGCATGCAAAATGTCTTTTCTGATCATAAAGGAATAAAACTAGAAATCAATGGCAAAAGGAAAATGGAAAAGTTACAAATATGTGGGAATAAAAACTACTTAAAAATCCAACAGGTAAAATAAGAAATGACAATGTCTTGAAGCAAATGAAAAGAAAGACACCCTATCAAATTTATGGGAAAACACATGTAGCAAAAGTAGTACTAAGAGGGTAGTTTATAGTAAATGCTCTCATTAAAAAAAGATGAAAGAGGGCCTCCCCAGTGGCACAGTGGTTAAGCGCTGGGTTGCGAAGCTGCCCGCGGCCTCTGAGACGCCGGTTTGATCCCCAGCTGCTCCCCGGCCAGCAGAGGAGGGTCCCACATGGCGCGCAGACCTCTCCTGCCGCCCGCTGCTCCCCTCAGCAGTGTACTTCGGTCCTTCTGCCTGCTCTGCTCCCCGCTCTGGCTCTGGTGAATTCGCTCACCCTCCTGCGCTTCTGACTGTACCCAGTGCTTATATAAATAAATAAATAAATCTTTTTAAAAAAAAAAAAAAGATGAAAGATATCAAATCAACAACCTAACTTTATACTTCAGAGAACCAATAAAAAAGGAGACAACTGAATTTGAAGTTAGAATAATAAAGGTAATGTTCCTAAAAATATACAATTTAATAAAACTGAATTATGAAGAAATAAAAAATCTGAATGGGCGTAAACAAGCAGGGAGCTTGAACGGCTAATCAAAAAATACACTAACAAGAAGAGTCAAGTAACAGATGGGTCTCAATGGAAAATTCTAACAGACATTTTAAAGAAAAATTACCAAGTCTTCAACTATTCCAAAAATTAAAGAGGAGGAAACACTCACAAACTCACTTTATGAGACCAGCATTGTACTGACACCAAATTCAAAGACACTATCAAAAGGAAAAGAAAAGAACTTCAGGCTAATATCCCTGATTAAAAGAGATGCAAATATCTTCACTATAATAACAGCAACCCAAATTTACCGGCACATTTAAAGGATTATACAACATGACCTAGTGGTATTAATCCATGGAATAACAGAAGGATAGCCTGATATATGAAAATCAGTAATAAAACACCACATTACAGAAGGAAGGAATAAAATACATGATATTCTCAATTGTTTTTTTTTTTTTTTTTAAGATTTATTTATTTGTTTATACAAGCACTGGGTACAGTAAGAAGTGCGGGAGGGCGAGAGAATTCACCAGAGCCAGAGCAGGGAGAAGAGCAGGCAGACCAATGAAGTACACTGCTGAGGGGAGCAGTGGGCGACAGGAGAGGTTTGCGCGCCATGTGGGAGGCCCAATCTTCTCAATTGTCTCAGAAAAAGCATTTGAAAAAATTCAATATTCTTTCACCATGGTGATGGTGCAAGGGTGACTTGGTGGTGGCAACTTTATGACACCTGAGAGAAGACAGCATACATTGTACAAAAATAAAGAATGATGTAAAATATATATAATTTAAAAAAAAATCATTACGCTTTCATGATAAAAACAATCTCAACAGATTATGAATGAAGCAAACTATCTTAACATAATAAAGACCATATATCAAAATCCTATAATTAACATTACACTCAAAGGTAAATAACTGAAAACATTGTCTCTAAGTTCAGGAATAAGGTAAGACTGCCCACTCTCTCCAACCTTTCTTCAACAGAGTACTAGGAAAGCTTCACCAGAGTAAAAAAATTTTAAAAAACTTTCCAAAAGGAATGACAAAAAGGAAAATTATCTCTCTTCACAGATGACACAATTTCATATTATGAAAACTTTAAAGAGTCTACCAAAAAAATGTTAGAAATAATAAGTGAATTCAGCAGCACTGCAGGCTAGAAAAAAAACACACAAAAATCACTTGTATTCCTTTACACTAACAATAAGCAATTTGAGAAAGAAAACAATCACACTACAATATTACCAAGGAAAATGAAATATTTAGGAATAAACACAACCAAAATGGTAAAAGACCTTTACAACAAAAAACTATAAAACATTGCTGAGACAAAGTATACAAATGGAAAGAAAACTCATGTTAGTGGATTTTAAGACTTAATATCGTTAAAATGCCCACACTGCCCAAAGCAATCAAATACTTCAATGCAATCCCTATCAAAATGCCAGCATAATTTTTTTCAGGAAAAGAAACACATACCCTAAAATTCATATGGAATATCAAGGGAATCCAAACTGTCAAAACTATTTGAAAAAGAACAAAACTAGAACTGCCATACATATTGTCCAATTATCTACAAGGGTGTCAAGGCTATACATGAAGAAAGAGCAGTCTTTCAACAACAGGTGTGAACGCTGAATATCCAAAAACAAAATTATGAAACTAAATTATTGTACTAGCCATAAAAATAATTCAAAATGGATTGAAGTACCCTAAGACTGGTAACTATCAAATTCCTGGAAGAAAACATAGGGAAAAAGTTTCAAGACACTTGATTTGGTGATTATTTCCTCACTAAGGCATTAAAAGCAAAGGTAACTAAAGTAAAAACAAAGGTAAGGGCATCAAACTTAAAACTGGCTTTAAATTTGAAAGATTAAAGACCACCTTAACATTTTTCTTGACATATCACACATCCTAATTGTTCAAATTAATCTTTCTTAATTTATAGGAATTATGCAATATTTATTCCTTATATCCATACGTCTTATTAGCTAACTCTCCAAAACAAACTTTTCAAGAATTATAGTATTTCCGTATTTATTATTAAAGCTTCTTACCATCTCCTTTGACTATATCAACAAGAATTTGGAAAACAGTTTTGAGAACAAGTTTAACAAGTTCAAACACTAGGAAATCATATGGTGGACAGCATGCTTCATAAGTTTAGAAACAAGGATGATAGAGAAAAAAATGGAAAATCAGACTACACAAAATTATGGAAAAATTTCAAAGCTCTGTTTGGTTCAGGCATAGCAAATAAAAAGATTTACATCAATTTTCTAATGTAAGAAATAAAATATCTCAGTCCTTAAAAGTGATGACAAAGAAACAAAGATGAAAAATTGCAGTTCAGAATCAGAGAATTGATTATATCATTGAGAAAGACCATAAAAAAGAAATCTGTGAGTAGGGACAAATAAGGGTTTAGTGTGATTTGTTTGTACAGAACAAATATAGTTCTTCCAGAAAAAAAAGAAGTCAGATAACACAGTGATGGAGATTAGTTGTTTCCAGGGGCTAGGAAACGGGTGGAGTGGAGAACAAGGCAAAGTTGAAAATATAAAACGGTAGCATGATAGTCTCTTTGTGATAACAAAACAGTTCTTTATTTGACTGTGGTGGGGCATTACAAGGAAGTAAATTGTGTAGAACGATCCACCTATATACCCACTCTGATTTTAAATTCAAGAACCCTAATAAGATCTATAAATTATTTAATAGAATTGTACCAATTTCTTGATTTTGATATGGTACTGTACCTATATTTCAGCAATGGGGAAGAAAGGAAAGTCATAGGGAACTATGTACAATTGTTGCTTGTTCCTAACACATATATATTTATTTCAAAATAGTTGTTTTAAATGAAGAAATGAATTCACATGAAAATGAATTAAGACAGAAATATCCTATAGGAATAATGATTAGTACTAAAATAGTCACCATTACTATGTGCTAGACAATGAAATGTAATTTGCTCAAATGGAAGAAGTCAAGAGGAAAAGAAAGAAATTCACCTGAAAACTATAATATACAAGTGTTATATTAAAAACATGTATTACAAATAATAAAGGAAATAATAAAAAGCAAGAGCTAGACTACAAACTATAATTCATGCTGTGTTATGATGTTTGAATTTAACAACATGGGGGGGGGGGGAGAAAGGGAGAGGAGGACAGGGCTACCCAAGGCAGTGGAGGACTAAACTCCTTTGGAGGAAATAACAAATAATGTGACTAAGACAGTGGCAAAAAATGTAAAAAGCAAGAAACATGGTAGAGAAAATCTGAAAACACAATTTTAACGATTGATAGAAAAATCCACCTTCAAGAATGTTGAAATGAAATAGATCAATATACTGACAGATGAAATTGTGAGGATTAGAAAGGGGTTAAATAATTTGTTCTGTATCTATAGCTCTTCAGAAACATACAGGAATAGCACAGTAGAAAAGGGACATTTCAAACCTGTAAAAAGAAAGAGTTTCCTGATATTACTGCTTAGAGCTAAATATAAATTATACAAGACAGAAATTCTTACTTCTTGTCTTTTCTTAAGATCTTCTTTGGCTGCTCCAAAGCGTTTAGTTAACCTGGCTATCTTGGCCTAAAAAAAAAAACAAAAACAAATACAAAACAAAAGTGATATGGAAACAAGTGGTAATATAGTAGTAAAAAGAACTCATACATACACATATAACAAGAAACCCACAGGTAAGAGGAATCTCAGGAGGCAGCTAATAGCAAAGGCAGACAAGTAAATTGTAAAAACAACACATATTTAGAAAATCAGAATGAAAACTAAACTGATCCTTGAACTCAATACCCAGAAGTAAATACTATTAATTTTAGATTAGCTTTTTACATCCTAATGCTATGTATATATGCTCACAAACCAGTATTTTTAGACAGTTTTTTTTGTTTTTGCCTTTTACATAATTGTAACCACACTTAATTTTCTCACTGAGAATTACGTAATAAGTATATCTGCAAATCACAAAAGATCCTTTGCCAATACTAAAGGGTATATGTAAATAAACTAATTTTTTCTATATTCTCTGTCTTACTGGATATACGCCATGTTAGTCAATGGCCTGATACAGTCCAATAACACTGCAATTTAATAACTTTGTTCTTTTAGGTAATTCACACTTGAGGTATTGCAGAGAAAGAATATTCTTAAGGCTCTTATCTAAATGCTTTTCAGAAAGACTTGCTAATTTCCAATAGCAACAGACATGAGTGCCTAGATAACATTGCTTTGAAACATTTAATTGAATATATTGTTAATTTCTCATGACAAAGAAATTAACATTAGCAAACATTTGCCAAATTATTTTATTAATCATTTGTTCTGCCTAAATAAACTGACCACATATTTTGTCAAAATATGTATTCAGAAAATATAGTAACAACAACAAAAAAAAAATCACATAATCACATGAGTATTTTGTTTGTATTTCCTTTAACTTTTTTACTAAGGCATAGATGTGATACTCAATTTTTTTTTTTTGCTGCTGCTATTGTCATTTTTGTGTAAAATATATTTCAAAAATTTTAAACTAAACTTCTAAGTGTGTTCATGAGATATAACTAAGAAGAAACTCTTCTAGAGAATTTCCTAAGCATATTATACAAAGGAAATGACATCATTTGATGTTCAAGTATCTTTCAAAATACAGTAACATCTGGAAGGAGATCAAAACCTTAAAAAGGATATAAATCCATTGATATGGTGTAGGCTGGCCAAGGCAATCAATCACCTATGAGGTTGAAGATGAAGATTTCCCTCAGGATTTATTTATGCATATTATTAACACTCGAGGACATAAAGTGTAATTTTTATATTCTTAATATGGAGTTACCTTTCTTTGACTAAAATATTTCAGCAATTTTGATAGTGTTCTCTGCACCCCAGCTTATGGAAGAAAATCTTTTTTATTTTGACCTTAGTCAAACTACCTCTCTGATGGATCAGGATTCTCTAAATTGTATTTTATATATAGTACTGTATATTTACTTTAAAATGAAAGAAAATTTAAAAATCATTTTGTATGTTAATATCTCATGAAAGTTCTAGAAAGATAAATACCAAAGTTAAAAGTGGTTTACCTCAAGACGCTGGGTTTGGAAGGTAGTGAAGGAAAATTAAAGAGGACTCTATTTTCATGTCATATACACCTGTAGTTTTCAACTGTTTTTATAAAAATAATTTTATCACTTAATAAACTATTAGCAGAAAAAGAAAAAAATGTCTAAGTGACTTACTGTCTTCTCTGTCATTTGATATTTTTTAAGGAAATCAAAGAGCAGCATATTTTTAGTATTAAGCTAGGAAAAAATAAAATTTTTAAACATTATAATTTAAAAAATAACTGCCATGATGTGTCAAAGTTGGATCACTATTTTGGCAAATATTCTGTGAAATGTTTTTATATTTTTCTTTATAATTTATTTTCTTACATCACTGCTCTACCTTCAGGTGTAGTCCCCATAGTTCTCCCATCAACGGAGCACCTATGAAATACTACCACAGTCACCTGTGCTCTTCCCTACCCTCTATTGATCCCCTCTCCCTCTCTAGTTGTTTGTTTCAAATCTATGGTCAGCTTGCGAGTTTTGTCTTTTTCCTGATCCTTTGGTTTCCCTATATTCCCCCCCCCCATAAGTGAAACCATCCATATTTTTCTTTTTCCTTCTGACTTATTTTGTTTAGCATAACCCCTTCCATTTCTGTCCATATTGCTGCAAATGGAATGAGTATCTTTTTTGATTGCTGAGTAGTATTCCATTGTCTATCTCACATCTTCTCGATCTAGTCATCTGTTCTGGGGCATTTAGGTTGTTTTCACATAAATAGTGCTATAATAAACATAGGCGTGCAGGTTTCCTTTCAAATAGTGTTTTTATATCCTTTGGGTAGATTCCTAGGAGTGGAATCACTGGAATAAAGCATGTTCATTTGTAGTGTTCGGAGGGTCCTCCACACAGCATTCATAGTGGCTGGACTTGTTTGCATTCCCACCAGCAGTGTAGGAGAATTCCTTTTTCTCCACATCCTCACCAGCATTTGTTGTCGCTAGTTTTTTTGATATGGGCCATGCTCACTGGTGTTAGGTGGTATCTCATGATTTTGATTTGCATTTCCCTGATAATAAGTGATGCTGATCACTTTTCATATGCCTACTGGTCATTTGCATCTGTGAAATATTTTTAAAACTCTATAAATTATTTTTTATTAGTCCAAGAAAGAGGATGCTGTGATGTCTATGATTACTATATCTAATTTCATTTGCTCTTGGCTTCTCCCTTAGGCATATCTATCACTTCTCTTATAAAGGAACAATGGTAGCTTTTTAAATATAAGTTACAGAAATTGTTGTGAGTCTTTGGCAAATCGGCAAGCCAGGACTTTCTTTGCATATGTACCAAAAAACCTCTTAGGGAGTGATTCTAGGATCTCCCCTGGTGGCGTAGCGGTTGAGCGCTGGGTTGCGAAGCTGCCTGCAGCCTCTGCAGCGCTGGTTCAATCCCTGGCTGCCAGTGAGGGTCCCACATGGCACACAGACCTCTCCTCCCGCGCCCGCTGCTCCCATCAGCAGTGTATTTCGTCAGTCTGCCTGTTCTGTTCCCTGCTCTAGCTCTGGTGAATTCTCTCACCCTCCCGTACTTCTGACTGTACCCAGTGCTTGCATAAATAAATAAATAAATGAATGAATGAATGAATGAATGAATGAATGAATGAATAAACCTTTAAAAAAAGAGGAAATGATTCCATCTAAAAATGGGTTAATTATGTATGAAGTTTAGCCTAGTAATACATTAGCACTCAAGAAAGTTGGTTAATAGACATGTGGTATCCACAGTTGCTAAACTTTTTCTGTTTTGTTTTTTTTTTTAATGTTTAACCATTAATTCTATTGGGCTCTATTTACCAGTCACTACTGTTTTAATTTTTTGTCTTTGTTGTATCACCAGACTGTTACCAAAGCTCTAGACAGCAGCACAGATTAACAGACATCGTTGTCCAATTCTCTACTTCAATGGAAACATTTCTAATACGTGATATCTTTATGTTTCTGATATTCTTTGAGGTTCATGGCTTTCTAAGAATGGCTGGTGAACTTTAACAAATCCCCCTTAACTTCTATCTACTAAGATTATCACACTTTCACACCTTTCCTCTGTTGGTACAGTACTGTGTAATTATGAATGCTGAGCCAGTTTTGCATTCATGAGAGAATTCTATGCTGTGAAGTAAAACTGACCTATAATTGTAATTATCTTGTGCTACAAAATTCCTAAGTTTGGCTTGACTCATCTCTTCCTATATTCTGAAACATTTTATATGAAATATGAATCAGCTGTTCCCCAAATCTTCCTCAGAATTTTCTCGCAAAGCTTTCTGGGTATTTTCCTGTTTGATAGCAATGAATATAAAATTACAAATTTCACTTTACATAGTGCTTTGGCTCTAACTTACAGGTTTTGGTATGCAGTACTTTAATTACAGTTTTAATCTAAAGACTTGAGAATTTTATTTTAATTCCTCTTTGCAATTATCCTTAAGCATATTGGGGGAGACTAGGGAAAGCATGTATGGGAGGAATAGAAAAGTTAAATATTGACTGATAATTTCTAAATTTATTAGAAAATTGCTACTGCATCCACAAAAATTAACTGTTAACACGTCAAGACTTTAGAAGTTATTACAGTTCTAACAATGCAATGAAGATAGATAAATCTAAAAATGACACATTTTTCTAGTTAAAAAACAAAATCATGGAAATAATTGTCGGGATTTACCTCACAATTTGACATCTCTGAAAAAATGAAAAAACACAAACTTTTCTCACAATTCAGAAAGCATACAAGCCCCAGAGCTAATACACAGAATTATGATGTCACTAATCTGCCATATATTCAATATTGACAATTACTTTCAGCTGTTTAGTACACAGAAATGGAATTAATAAAAACGAAATTTAATAAAAACATATGGACAAAAATAGCAAAGAATTGTATTATTCAAATTCCTCTAAATGTACATTCTGTTATTCAATATTATTCAAATTTAAAAACAAGTAATCTTAAACTAGCCCATCTTAAAAATACATAAAACAATAATATGTAAATCCACACAAACTCTAATTTTTGTTAGAGAGAAATTTATACATTTAAAATTACAGCAGAATAGATATCTTCAGGATCTTTCCTCTAAAGATACTTTTTATGTTGTTCAATTTTATTCTTGCATAAAAATTTATTAAAATATAGTAAATACACTATGGCAAAAAGGTCACAAGTTCTTTACAGGTCTACTTTCTCATAACTACAATGTTAAAAATAAAGAGATCAATAATACTAAAATTATTAATTATATTAAAGTTTTATTGTCAGTTTTACCTATAAAACAGTAAGTAATTTAACAAAGTATATCATTATTTGCTGAAGTATGTGACAGAACACCTCTAAATATGCTGGAGATCTTTAAAGTAATAATTAAAACAATGGAACAGACTATAATGACATCACCAAAAATGGCTCAGCAGGGAACTACCTTGCCAAAAGTAACAAATGAGCTGGCAACTTTTCAACTGTGGAATC